ATGATTTAAGCCCGAATCATTATCCGGTGTTAAGATTCAACAGTCTTGGGGATGGCCTGCTTACGATAATAGTGAGTGACTACTTCTAGTCCCGATCCCTATTTGTCTTTCTGGATATACCTATGTTAAGTTCAGGTATAATCCTTAATTAACAGAATATTGTTTATGAAATACCTTTTTTACATGCCGGTGAGTTAGCATCGAATTGTTGGTGGTTCCAACAAACAACTATCTGATGGTATATCCACTGTTTCAAAACACATGGAAGCGTGACCTGTTGTTTTCAGGCGACAAGCCTATAACTAGTAAATGTAATATATAATTAATGTAAATATATCGACGTATTAGTAATGCAGTGTTATATATATATATACTTTGACAACTCGCGTTCTTGTCCAACTGAAACGGTAGGTTGACTCTGAGTATGGTATTTTTGCCGTTCGTTAAGCGTTATTTCAGACGAATTTTTTCCAGCTCGAAAAGAACTGTGTGCCTACGTCTGTTTCGAACCTGAGTCACCTCAGTAAATATTCCTAAGTTCAGTCGGCAAACACATAACCACTTCGCTATTGCGGAACTGAGGATAGCTTTCTAGAACAGAACTCCATTCAATGCGCCAATGAATTCTGTCGGTCGCCTTCTTCTATTTTCGTCTGGGTTTCTCGCTGTGTAGTTAATGCTGGAAATTCGGGAATAGACGTGCACAACAAACAGATGTTTTCGAACACGGGTATGACACGGAATAACCATTTGTCATACCGTTTACATCTTGTTCGTAGCGATAATCTGTTACTTTATGCGTGGCTATAGACAAGTGTACGGAAATATTAATGTTTCACTTTAACATTTGCCAAAACATAATAACAAAATAATATGCGCCACCTTCGGCAGAAACTGAAAATGCAGCACAAAGTTCATGTATATACACATACGTAGCAGTCTATTATCTCCTCTTATCACGCGTATCGCTGTTTATGGCTTTTATAAATATAAAGGACGTCCATTTGTACTTGTCGTCCTGTAAGCCCGCGAAGAATGTCGCAGCATTCTTTTGATAGAGAAAATTCTCAGCATTGCGTAGTGCCACCGTTTACAATTGCCCCTCAGGTTTTGTTCTAGCCTAGGCCGTGCGATCGTCTGCGGTTATTACTGCACATATAATTTCTATGTATGCATAAATAACACTTAATGTCCGCCTCATGGACGGCATTGATGAGAGGGGCAGTGGCGAAAACGCAATCGGTACAGCGATATTGCTGAGCATCACAGCTGAGGACAACCCAAAAACCCACTGTCACCCAGTGGTGATTTGTCTATGGGTACTACGGAATGGTAGTGGTTATTGTAAAGGTCGTAACTCCTCATACCTAGCTTCGTGTGACTTCTTGGGGTTGTTAGTCCACGGGGCATCACGCGAAAATAGGAGCGATTTACGAGTTTTTGGTTCGGCGCCAGGGCCTGATTTCTTTGTGGCCCCTTATGGTTATGGGCAGCGGAGTTATTCGTGGGAAACGATTGAGCACGCTTTATTTAACTTCGTCTATGTTGCAGTGTGAAGTGTTCCTTCTCTATGCTGACACAGCGGAACTTATTAGTTTGATAGATCCATTATTATGCCAAAATTCTGGACCATCGAAATGCCAACTGCACAGCTCATTCACGCATACTATAGACGCTCAATGGTAAGGGGAAAAAATGGTTTCCGAATAGAGCAAGCTGCCCCAAATGAAAAGATAGTAGTGTCTACAATTTATGGTATTTGCAAGCGCTGAAAAAGCCTTCGCCTGTTTGTTAAGAGGAACAGAGAAAGAGTTAAAGATAGTAACAGCTTTTCTTGGTCCGCCTCTTTATATAGCCTGTAATGAGATTTGCACCTTGAGACGGACGATAAACAACTCTAAGATCCTATACCGAATTCTCTTATAGAAGGGACGCTTGAAGTTAGCTATGGAAAGAATGGATACAGACTTCCAAGTGCCAATCTTGAAAATCTGAGGACCATACGGTGAAGTGAATTAATAACGGTGTAGTATAGCGACGAAATACCAGATCAGATATATTCACCATCGATCCTACAGAAGATCTTTGATAGTAAAGTAACAACGACTATCCAGCACAACACGAAGACACAACTTCATCTGGTCCTTCTTGTTTGCGTTTATGGATACTTTTGTTAGTTACTTCATGATATCTGAGGGATATACTGGGTTAAATTGACAAAATTGACTAAAATTGGATTGAATGCTTCGGGCTTTACGCGCGATTGCGTCGTTAGGCAGAGTACTGGCCTCCCAAGCCGAAGGATTATGCCTACCTCAGATGCGTTCCTGAGATTTATACACGGACATATTATGTATGAATATGATTGCTTTTTCTTTTTGTATTATATTGAAAAATAGTCCTTACCATGCCACAGGGAGTATTATCTATTAAGGAGATAAGTAATATAAAAAAGAATTCAGGCTTTAGTAAACGATTTCTAATTCTTTCACAGCTTGCATACCAGCAAGTCCGCCTTGTTTAAGTGGACTTTAGTGACTCACCGAATCTGATCTCGTTCATCGTCGTTAACATTTCAATGGAAAAAAGCCTTTTGCTTACGTCGAATTTCACAACTGACTAATACCATGCTCACTACGACTAACCTAACCGCAGCCCCTTCTGCCACAAATTCTGGGTTTCTCGACCAATTCTAACCAGAGAAATAACAAGCCCTAAAAAGTATCAAACTTTATTATTAAATCAGCGCCCGACCACACCACAAACTGCTCACGCTTCTCCCGCCACAGCCTCCTTTACCCTTGTATAATATAATGCGCGTCTCCGAATTGAATCACTGACGTATTGCGTTCCTTTTTGTCTGTACTTATCAACGCAACGAAATCATTCAAGTTGCGTCTTCATCTCAACATTTTAGTATTTTATCCGTTACATCGAGTGAGCTTTGCATAGTTTCTTTCTCGTTTTCCCTCAGCGGCGAATAGAAGCGGACAAAAGAGCCATAACAAGAGACGACGACGTAATCCCTCTAGCACCCGTCGTCCAGCTAGAGCAAAGACCGTTCCGGTTGTTCGATGCAAAAATGTAGGGTACGAATTCACCCACAGAATCCCTAAACCTGATTATTTGCATAAAGCCGCGGTTTAAATAGGGGCAATGTTGCAAAGATTGCTCCTGTCGTGCGCGTTCATGGGTGACTTGGCGGGAGGTTTTCGTCGTTTAGGGCTGACATGGTGCAGTTGCACGTGTAATGTCGTACTGGTGTAACATAGCAGCCAATGGCAATGCGATTTGAGCAAGAAAAGAGACTACAGAAGAAGATGTATCGAACGTGGTCAGGGGCAGTTCGACGGCGAAGGACTGAGATGTTGACAATTCTCCCACCCGATGCAAACTGAGGAGCGAGTTTGTCCAGTCTCCGTACGTTTCCCTTCCTCGACAGTGATTGGACACTGGCGGATAGCTATCGATCAATGGCATGAAAAAGGACGTACAAGTTCTTGGCTTTTTCGCCCTGCAAGGCTAATACACGTGGAAAACAAGCGTCGGTACAAGGGGGAGAAGCTTTTCTATAGTGATGACCGCAAAAATAGCTGGGAACGCTAGCTGGACGTGGGCCTTTACTGTAGCGTACAGCGCTCGGTAAATCATTGAATAATGAGGTTAAGGTTTTAGTAAATCGGCTTCATCAAAGAGCGCTAACACCAACTGCTGGCGAATATCAAAAAGGGAATCGGTAATCAAAATAACAGGCACATTTAAATCGTTTTTTATGGCAGTATTTCGTATTGAGTTAGACTGAATCCCGCTGAAGTTTCGGAGTCGAGGGCTAGGCAGTATAAAATAGTGGCAACATTTTGTGTACGCCAATACGAGTAAACTTAGTTATAGCTGCCACAGTACCGCAAACCAAATTGACCATTCCTATAGTGAGAAGGGGGTCCTTACGATCTGTAAGACGAGATAAAAAGCTAGTAGCTGTTTAATCCGTGCAGATTCGTACAAACTTACGCCCGCTGTTCACTAATCAATTGATGCTAGACCTGTCATTACGGCTACCAATGACCTTACCTACCTGCAGTTAGTTGTCTAGAAACGATAAGGTACAGCACTGCATCTATCCCAGGATTCTGTTGCGTTCGTATGACACCGACGTGCTGACAGTATTTCGAGCGTGTGCCACGTATTTTGTTCGCTCTTACGACAGTTATCTCTAACGAATGATTCTTTTATTAGCTAGAACAATTCCAAATACATATTTTAGGTCAAAAAACGAAATAAATAGACCGGCATAAGCAACATTCTAGCAATTCGGATTACATACTGTTATTCAGAACAATGTTTATTATTTAGGCAATATTTAAAATGTTAGATTCGACAAGACGAAGTATGCGTCGAGAGTTAAGTTGAGCACTCATAATTCGCTGAAGTGCCCAGTTTCCTCATGATTCTTTTGTTCTACACATAAGCGAAGCTTCCTTGATATGACGATACATATCATACACAATCGTGTTGAATCTGCCAGTGAAAATCATAATGAAGACCTTCACAAAGAAGCTTAACAACCTGCATTAGAAGCTCAACGGTCATGAATCGTGACATAACAATCGTTGATGATAAATATATGAATCGTACTTCATCGTGACGGCAGCACTTCAACAACAGGTGAAGGCCGCCATAAAAGAAAACTACTCATTTTGCCTAACAGAGATGATCTACTTCTAACCGATCAAAGCAAGCTGTCTTGTTGACATCAAAATGATGTAGACCTTGAAAGGTCTTGTAGTAGAAAGACCACGTTTTACCCGTACGTGCGCCTGCCACTCAACTTGTTTCCTTCATACACCTTTATTCGCACAAGCGTATACTTTATCATGACTAAGTGTATATTGATTGATTGAGTTGTGCACTATTTCAGCTGTTTGCGGCTAGGTTATCGCTCGAGACGTATCTCGTGCTGACAAGCGCTATTTGTTTGTTTTTATCGTTATCTTTTGCAGGCGCAGAGTCCCAGCATTCTTGGCAACGGAGATGGCGATCTCGACGATCCTTCACAACGTTTCGGGGTGAGGACTGCATAATTATTCTAGATGTAAACACATTTTTATCACATAAAAACGAAAGGGCCTGACAGGTGCCTAGTATGCAAGGAACTATTCGTTTTGTGCAATACGTACGAGCGCTATGGCTCTAATCCGACGAAGATAATGTGGGAAATTTTAGAGAATTTTAGTTGTTGTTGGAATTACCGTTTCTCTTCAAATGTACCGCTCTACCAAAGCAGATATTGCAAGGCGGTTTTGGTACTATTCTGCTAATTTAGCTTCTATCAGAAACTAAAGTAATAACACATGAAGATATTTCTTTTTAAGACTGGGGTTTAGCTCGAATTAAAGAGGACAGAACGGGTTAGCACAATATAATTAGAGATAATAAGGGCATTCGTGCTCGATGTCATTAAATTTCAGTCCTACGTAGTTTCAAGCTTCAGTAACACCGGTCGAAACATTTACATACACACAAATGAGCGAGAAAAAGAGGTAACGCAAGAAACACTGGTATTAATCATTCCGAAGGAAGAATGCAAAAGACTAAAACATATACCAAACGCTAAGTAATCATATTAAGTAGTGAACTGTTGACCTATGAAACTACTGAACTTATACTTACTTTAACAAATGTTTCAGCCACTGGGTAATTTAAATGCTAAACAAATAAAAAAGATTCGATAAACAAAATTTATTTATTTTCTCTTAGTGCAATTCTACTATTTATTTGTTAGGGCAGATTCAAGTAACCCTTTTTATCCTACTAACGAAAGTATTATTATTTTCGTCTTCATACATACTTCTTGTTCCATTATTCAGGTTGGCGGAAGTACTGGTGTTGATGAAGTTGTGGGCCCTCCCAGCTGTGGCACTTCAGGAGCAGGAGATTGGGAGCTCGAGGAGATTACGCTAGAGCGGGGCGGAGCGGGTCTGGGCTTCAGCATCGCCGGTGGGACGGATAATCCGCACGTGGGAGATGACCCCTCTATCTATATCACTAAAATTATCGTCGGAGGAGCAGCCGCCGCCGATGGCCGACTGCAGGTGCGTCAAGTGTTTGCTCCCTCTGTTTGCTATTCATTTTATAAACTGTTTCCCTTTTTTCCTAATTGTAGCAATTTGCCGCCATCGATGGGCAACTGTGGAGTCTTTTCCTTTGATTTCTCGTTCGCGCGCTATTCCAGTAACCTAATTGGCCCTTAGATACTGAGCCGTATTTGATTCGAGCAAACGAGGCTCCGCTACTTGACAAAAACGAGGCTTAAACAGAAATCACATGTGGGCAACAACTGCGACTCGTACACGTGAATAAAGGCAACGACAAAAAATCAAGCGACTGAGATCCACGAATTTTGTAGCTGACGTGTAATACAATTGCGTGTACACCGTTACGCAGTTTTTTTACAGAGTGCTTTACTGTTTTTTTGTCCATCTTTTTCTTATTGTTATTGTTACTATTCTTATTTTTTATGAGAAAAGAAAGCGACATTTTTCCACTTTTCATCAAAACTACCCCTTTTTTTCAAGCTTGTTCCGACACCTTTGTGGCGTCGAAGCAACAAGCTACATTCACCACCCCGGTCAGATCGTTTAGTATAGGTCGAAGTGTCAGATCTAGGCCGATTAAGGCTGGCCGGGTCTTTCATAAAAACGGTGTTGCTGTTGGCGAGATCGCCATGGCCAGGGGAACAATGGTGAACAGTGATGAGAGTTACTCAGTGAACAACTACCCAGGGCGCCTCTTAATTACAAAGTGTTTATAGCTGAGTTGTACAAACGAAAATAAAATGGTCATCTCGCTCCGAGCTTTTGTTTTTCCTTTTCATACCTGCTGAAAAGTCCTTACATTTCGAATACAAATCATTAATTCCCTTTAAATTAACATTGCTATCTTTTCTAATATCTAATATATTTAATATGGAAAATTAAAGAAACGTTAGTAATGTGTCTAGTTGTTTTAAACAATACTTACTTATGAAGAAGATGGACAAAGAAAAATTTAATCTAATTCCTAACAAATTAATAGGATCATAGGTGCTTGCTCATAAGCCTTCACTTGAACCTGGGGAACCTTTGCTCCCCCGTCGAAGTTGATTAGATTACAAACGGACAAAGTGTCTTTACATGAATTCACTCACAGGTATTCTTGTTGTAACCGTGGAGGTTTCTCACAACTTTCTTAAGGGTTGGCAAGATTTGAGGCAGGTACCTTGTACCTGTATTGTTTTGCAATGCAATAGGTTTTGGTGTCTCGCTCGTCACAATTGCAGTGACTTATTTTTGTACAACCTTTAGCTATTGCTTTTTATAAGAAGTTTTGAGTATTGCTTCTTTTGGCGTTAAGGATTTGCTTCACTAGCCAAGCTTACCTAGGTTTTTTCCAGTAGAACTATTAAGTGACATCGTAACCATGCAATAAACAGCCATTAATCTGATTTTTTCTCCTATATCGATAATTTCTGATACTTAATAATCCTTTGTGGCAAGGATTTTGTCAACGATAATATCTGAATGAGCGATGGCTGTGAGCATTCTGTTCTATGTGGTTACCATGGCAACGATTTCAAAGGGCCACCCACACCTCCGCACCTTTTTCATTGAGTCACCCGGGTACCACAAACCAAGGGCTAATTTGTCTAAACGCAATCAGTGTTTTCATGCCTATTAAACCGACCATCGTACGTAGAATATGGTAGGACAGGAAAAAATGCCGCTATTTTTGGTTGGTCAGTCCTTTCTTTTGCTCATTTAGTAAAACTATTTACTTGTATAAATTCGTTCGATAACTGTCAGATCAAATATCCGACACATTGTCCTGGCAACACTTTTGTGTCCAGCTCCTGCTTTGACTGTTCTACTTTTGGATATCTTTGGAAGACGGCTGATTTTGGTTCGCGTCACCGTCATGGTGTACAGTGATAGCGCGTCTATTTAGATACGCTCAACTTAGGAACACTTTGTGAAAATTGGCTTAGCTTCCAAATAGGACATAGACGCAGATCGTTTCGCGCTGGGAAAGGCCACTGGCTGGCAAAAACAAACGTACCGGACGTAAAATTTGAAACTTACCTAAGGTAGCAATAGCTGCTTCTGCGTTCCACAACATGAGACATCGACTAAACTGTGAGCAACTTATCTAATTTGTATTGTGGAGTAATATTCTAGATTTGCCTATAATTGGGGGGTTACCTTAATAGAAAGTCGAGAAATTGAGTAACCTAGTGTGTGCGAAAGAAGTAATTTAAATGCAAGGAGTTCACACAACAATTTTCGATTCTTATTTTTATAATCACTTACGGCTGCAGGCAAAATGATATGTTATAATGGATAAGCTGATACATGTTATGGGTAACATATAGGCGTTAGATATAACGTCTGTCGACTCTATGCATTATTCGAATTTACGTATACAGGTGAACGACATCATTCTACGGGTAAACGATGTTGACCTAGTAGACGTACCACATCGAGTCGCTGTCGAGGCCCTCAAACGGGCCGGTAACCAGGTAGTTCTTCTCGTCAAGGTAAGAAGTGCCTTTTTTGACCATTAGCGTCTTTGTTACTTTATTTCTTATATCTATATTTCTTATCTTTGTCAACCCACCTATGATGATATGCATCCGTTCACTAGGGCATTATTACTTATTTTTTATTTGATGTCACATTGATAGCGAAGACATTATTAAGAGCTGACAACATATCAGACATAATTGGCCGTCTTAACTATTGGCCACTTGAAAGTCAACTGTTCTTTCATATACGCTTTCTGCATAGAGCCGATCTTATTCTATGAGTTAACAGTACGCAAGCTAACTTCTTCTATTTTCTTGTATGTCTACAACCTCAACCCTACCGTCGCATATATATTTGAAAACACATTGTCGACAACTGTACATCCGTCATATGTTGTGTGGTCGACCTCCTCATTATTATTCCTACTCATTTCGTTTGATTTGGGGATAACCCATCGGTCTCGTACGCTGATGACGGTGGCACAGCGGGAACGGAAAGAACCCCCTGGAATCGTCGAGATAGAGCTGCAGAAAGGTACACGAGGGCTGGGTTTTAGTATCGCTGGTGGCGTAGGCAATCAGCACATCCCTGGCGATAATGGGATTTACGTCACGAAAATCATGGAGGGCGGAGCCGCACACCTCGATCGGCGCCTGCAGGTAAATACCCTGTACTTGTATTGATCGATATTTGATTTCTTTCCCAGAACGGCGAGCAAATACATACTGCTATTTACAGAATTCATTTGAATGATCGAGCGAAAACTATGCATTATGTAATAGGGAATGTAATACCAGAAAACAGGCAACCAAGCTGTGCTAGACGACTGTTACTGCGGAATGTTCAACAGATAATTTAATTTTCTGCTCATAATAGTTCTTAGAAACAGATTGCTCCTTACCAATATCTGACGCTATCTAGCCAACAGTTGAGAGATTGATAAGAAAGACGTTCTAGCTTTGGTAAGGATGGACTGTTTGTAAACTCTCTTGGCCTGAGTTATCTTACTTTGGCAGCAGTGGGATATACTTATTAGAGTTGTCCCTTTTCATCTCTCACAGGTGCGGCATTTGCCTCATAGGGTTTTAGGGGTGATGACCTAAAGCGGACCGACCAGCTTTCTTTTTTCTCGTAGCAAGAGAACTCTCTCAAGTCAAATTCCCTTTTACCGGTGCTTGCCTAGTATGCCTGGCTAGCGGTCTAGGCACCGTAGTAGACAGCCGTGCCGGCGATCAATTCACCTAGCAGCCGGCCACCGTTACTGCTATTGCGTACTCCCCAGCCGTTATAACCCCCTGTTATTCGCTCTTCAGTCAAACTGCTCATCCGGTTCGCTTTCTCCCTTTGCTGTTGGGAGCTGCCTGCTGTTCGACCGTTCTTTGTAGTCTTCACCACTTCGCGTGGTCTTCCCTATTTCAATAGAATTTCAATAGAATTCAATAGAATAGCTTTTTCGGCAAAGTTCCTTGCCAGCTGCCAGCACCCCTATCTACTGCCTTAATGCCTAGAGCCGCTTCTCCTCTTATTGCTTTACCATCTCTTTTCTTTATAGCACGCTAAGCAGTCCCCGACAGCTTCCAACACCATCGCCTTATTTCTTTGACGCCCTATCCTTCTATCTGTTCCTTTATTTACGAATAGTTAGGTGCGGATAATCTTGACGGAAGGAAAACGAGCCTAACTAGCAGCTGATCCTTACAAATCGAAACTTCTTCGTAGCTTTTACACCGTCGTTCCCCAGCGACGCATCACAAAGCCTAGACGTGGAATTTTCTCTGCGCCGGGACGACTATCTTCAATGTGGTAACTCCTCGAGAAGATCCGAGCGCTTTTCAAAGCTTTAATTTCTCTTCCCGTGTGGCTCACTTAACCTTGACTGTCCGAGGCTGCTGAACAACCGATTCGATGATACAGTTCCAAAATAATTCTAACTAATTTGGCTCATGGGGCCTCTCTTCATCTTCTCACTGGCGAACTGGTCGAACGGTTTGTGCACTGGATCTAGGGGAGACCGGCGCAAATAATATGGAACAATTTACTGACGGCACTTGCCCTACTCTGCGCAACCGTGTTGACTTGCGCGGATATCCAAGTAACCAAAACAAACCCTACCAGTACAGTAGATAAACCGAATCATTTAGGTGGACAGAGTAGTGGACTAAATTCAAGCAAGAACAAAGCATCTAGTTTATATGAGGTAACACCGTTGGAAAAAAGCCAACATCTGGATAAATTAGGGAAGTTGTGAACCGTTGGCTTACCGAACGATCATGGACAAATCTGCAACTGCCCAAAATCAAGTTCGTACCGTCGTATGACATGGCTGGCTAGCAGATAGGCTACGTCCAAGTGTTTCTTTTCAAACGATCTTTCTTAATTCTATTCGTCAGATCTTCAACTTCTTGCTGTTGTGCGATTGCCACTGGCTCATCCAGCCATCCTCATACTCGCTCGCATCCGCTATATTTTCGTACGAATTGTCAGTGCTAATATGGAAAAGCTTCAAAGAAAAAGGGTTTGTCTACCCGACTATCTAAAGATTGGGCTTCGTTAACGATAAAAAAAGTCTATGATCGACGAAACTTATTTGCCAACTGCAATGGATAGACAATTCGTACGTTGCTTCCGGGCTTCTATTTTATAGAAAGCTATATATGTATATATATAAATCCGCGCAAAATCACCGTCATATGCCTGTAAAGCTAGTGTGATATTTTTTCATTTGCTAACAAAGATACTTGTGATGTGCATGATATATTCAATGTACCTGTCATTCGCTTCCAATCGGCGCCCCATACAGCGTCCTGTGCATATATGTGCACAGAGCGTTTATACATTATGTATTGATTTGGCAAGAAGAGAGTACGAGCTATTTCCGCTAATCCAAACAACGTAATAGCAGCCTTTCTAAAGCGAGGTGCACGCGGTGTAATTCGATTTATTCAGTTCATTTGTTTTCTATAATCGTCCTACCTGCTTGCTAACCTACCTGTTGTTTCGCTATGCTACAGGTGGGCGATAAGCTGCTAGCAGTTGGAGATGTGCAGTTGGAGCAGGTGTCGCACGAGCAGGCGGTAGCCACCCTCAAATCGACAGGGGAGCATGTTCTACTGACTGTTGCCAAAACATCGCACCATCTCCCACCACCGCCACCTGTGCCCCCTGATCTGGGCAACCGTAAGTGCGCTAGTTTTAATTTTGAACCCATTATACATAGCATATTATGGCTGACCAAGTAGACGACCACGATGCGGATAATAACGATTATCGTTACTGTTTCCATTAGTACTGCTATATTTGGCGTGCTGAAGGGCGCAGAAAGAAAGAAACGTTTTAGCATCTAGTATTCAGGTAAACATCGAAGAGAAACGTGTTTATTTTTAAACTTCGTTTTAAGGCTGGAGAAGGTTCAATGCAACTTCCAATGCGATGCATCGCATTATATATATACAAGTGTAGTAGCTCACATCGGAAGTGACGAAGGGACGTTTTTTGGCTGAAGCTCTGATTTTTACACCGGAGTTTCTTCATTGTTGAAAACAACTTTATAAAGTTGTTTTTAGCAGCGCATTATCTTGCGTTAGATATCAATTAAACTTACGGATTCCTTACTGAATTTTTTAATTAAAAAATTAGATTCGCTATCTATACAAATTATGTGTCTTTTCAACAAGTTACCAGGAACGATGAGCGTAAAGTAGTTCGGGAAAATATTCATAATTAAACTTCTGTAAATGTCTTAATATGGCCAGTAGTGCCTAACTTCCCTGTTTGGGTGCGCTATCTAGCTTTCAAGAATTCCAAAATATATCCATACGAAATGTCTCTACTTCCCATTCCCACGGAGTCACTAAACATCTCAAAAAAAAAAAACTCACAAAAGCAAAGCGTCTAAGAGGATTATTCCCTGCTCTGTTGCGTTTTTTTCTTTGATACTTTTGTAGTTGGCGGGGTAGGTGGCGTTGACGAGCTCAGCGACACAAATGTTTCTTCAACGTCGAAAGCAGCAAGCGACGACGCTCCAGAGCCCGGAAGGTGAGTCGTGAAACTTGCTCCATGTTTGGATAATTTTACTTACAGATATATTGATAGATTTCGATCCGCAAAACTGGACCTTTTTGCGCGTCCATGACAAATTCTTCTGCAGCAAAACATGCCGAATGTTGGCCGATTCATCAATCATAGAGGATCTCAGCTCCGTAGAAAGTTTCATCTTGATGTAGGAAGACAAATACGACTTGAGCGGCCTTTCAAGTTTGCAGACTGAGCCTGCATTGTCTCATGTACATTAGACGGTATAACCAGTCCGTACTGTTCGTATCTAGGTTATACATTTCGTTAAATTGAATTCGGAGTCACAGGGCAAATATCGTAGTGGTATACTAGGCGTTATATGATGTTTATCTGAAATTGAGCTCGATTAGAATCAGTATCGAAATAGTATTAATAGGGCGATGTAAAATGTCTATATTCCTTCCGCGGAGACCTTTTTGTACCCAATATAAAAACGTCAGCACCAAAGTGTAAATTAGAATTTTCACATAGCATGAGCTGCGTACAAACAGAGAGCTTAAAAAGCTTGAGTGCAGTGTTGCCGAATGCTTGCCACGTGATCGTGTGGTGAGTAACGTGCTTGTCTGTCAAACGTAGAGATACGTGGCGCTCTAAGTTCGAATCCGAACGTAGACACCAGGCTCCCTTCGTGCTGGCAAAAGTCATCCATATCAAGTGCTGTCTAATAGCTGAAATGCCGAACACAGGACACCAAACACAAGGTTACCATTGAGACAAAGTGAAGTCGCCCATATTTCTGCTGATTTCAACAAAGCCCAGTCGCGTAACTCCTTCTGTCAGACGTCCTTTGTAAATATTTATTTACATATATCTCTACAAAGAAGCAAAATCTTCACAAACAAATCGCCTGCGGCTGGATTTATACTGTGTCAACTGACTAGTCGTCGACCGTCTGAGTAATCGAAATGGTCACTTGCATGCCTGTCTAATTCAGCCACGCGTGTGCATAATATTAGAAGATGTACTAAATACTCATAAAAATGCGAATGCTCGTTTAGTCAGTGGGTTCACGACCCAGTCTGCCTGGTCGGCATTAGCACGAGAAAAAAGCAAATTTCTATTATTTTTTGTTCTAACTTCTTCGTAGTTCTTTACGAAAGTGGAAGACAGTTATATAGAAATGTTATTTATTGTAAACAATTACAGCTTTGGAAGAGGACTTTGGAAATGGGTTATGTTTTGATCCAACTAAAAGGTAACTAAGGGGTCTGCTTGATAGAAAAGTAAAATGTCCTTTTCAAGTAGGGATTTCGTGATGGGCATAATTGGTGGGTTATTTATCCAACGGGTCCCAACAGTTATTTTTATCGGCTTATTTCTATTAAAGAACGAATATGTGCCCGAAGTGAAGCCAACTGCGCCCGGCACTTCTAGACCTATTATTATCTTTTATCTAACAAAAAAAGACACTTTACACATCTTTTGTTCACCGTATAGGGACAGCCATGTCTTCTACAACGTTCAACTAAAACAAATGCGTTAGAGGAATACTCAAGGGCTAGGCAAGTTGGAAAAGTTTCACGCTAATCACAATTTACGCGAACAGTTTTCTGTTACTAGACTCAGAAATAACACTTCATGTTTTACAACACGTAGAAGCACTTTGATATTATAACGCTACCGACGGCCTCATCCGTCGGAATGCCTCGCCGAAATTCTTCATGAGCTTCAACGTCTGGCAGTAACAATGCGGTTCTGGTTCCGGTTCAATAAGATAAACGATAGAAACGGAACGCTGACCGTACAGATTGTTACCAATCGGGTTCATTCAACACAGACAGTTAAGCGAGAACGCCTAAGTCGACTGGTACGTTCCACAGCGGTATTTTGCATGTTGCAACAAGAGTCCATTAGATGCTGCTTGTATTTCAAGTTACTGCGTTCAAATATTCGCGCGCTTCGTTCGGTTCGTCGTTCCTTTCGTGTCTACGCAGCGCCCCCTTGTACGGTGTCGCACTTTAAATAGTCTCGTGCTAACGATATTGACAATACGTAAACAGTAAAAACTTTCATGTGAGGCGTAGACTTTACAGTCTCGTTCCTGTGTCTGAAAATGAACGCTGAATTCACATACGACTCTTTTAATGGCGTCAATGCTCACGATGACGCTCACGGCAGCGTAAAAATATGGTACGCACAATCAATGCCTGAGCATAAAGTACAGTATAATTCGCGGTACGGCAAATCTCTACTGGAAACGATGTCTACTAATGATAGCAAAATGCCTTAACAAATACATCTGTACCCTACGCATTTAATGCTTATCGATTCAATCAAAATTGTTGCCCAGTATATAATAGTAAATTTAATAGGGTACGGTAAGTGTTTTTATGGCAAATAGCAAACTATGTGTTGTGATGTTTAATCTTTGAATACAGAATCGCTATTGCTTCCGCAGCGGCCCACCCAGAAGACGCGCTGCATGCGCCCAGGCCACTTAAACGCAAATTTGGCGTCAACGTGGCCAGCTAAAACGTTCGTTCGCTTAAAACATTCATCGAGCGTGTTTACTCAACGTCAGCCGCATCTGTACGAGCATGAATAAAAGAGGCAACATGCCTGAACAGCGGATCATACATATTGCCATGTTAGTGGCACAAGCGGTGACTTGGCTTCAAGCATCGATTACCGGTTGGCAAAACACCCACAACTTTGGTAATCAGCTTTCGAAATGGACAAGATTTGTGTGCTGGCAACCAAAGGCAGCATCCGGTCATTGTGTTTGGCTGTATCTAACGGCTTGTATGTTGTACAACGTAGATAGCTCAGATGACGCCCCTTGCCACTATAACTTACTCAACCCGGGGGCTTTCGAGCCCCGACGTGCTCTAAATTTCATTGACTAGCATTAGTGAGTTCCCATCGGCTACAGGACTGGCCGATGCTTTCCCAGATTCTGTTTATATGATACCTTGCCTTCGTGCTGTGGAAATTCCGATATCTTCGGAAGAGTGGCGTTACCAACCAGCGTGGCCAACTTCTGGGTACAGCTAGTGATTTCGACTGCGTCGCTGAAGTTACTATGAGACGTGGTAAACTCTACCGCACCGGAGAATCCTGTACACAAGTTTAGGACGCGTCCTAAGTAGAAAGAAGCCAGTTAAAGCTATGAAATGACCTCAATTAGAAGTCACTGGTCAAACAATTTTCCTCTCTCTGGCCGAAATAAACAGCAAATCGGTTCCCTTCGACCAGGCTGGACGCCAGTGCCCGGCTATACTAACACTGGCAACAGCTGTGCAGACTCATTCTCCTAAATCTTCGATTTAGTATTACTTAAACCTTAGACATCTGCGGTACTCAAAATCGCATTGCGCAGCAGCAGCAACAACAACGACAACGGCTTCAAAGAAATGCCAGCTACGAAAAGCAAAACACAGAAAATAAAAGAGTGGGGCGCGGAAGAGATTGCCTTCCGGCACCCCGTTCAACTGGCACGGCTTCAATATTCTCTCATCTATCATCACCATTTTCCGTTCGCATGATTATTATCATCGTTGTCGTCGTCCTAGTCGTAGTAGCAGCAGCAGCAGAAATCTTCACGGTTCCTTCAAGCGGCTCTTAAATCGATTTTAGATAGAGAAAAAAAATATACGCTGTGCCATCTGTCTACAATTTGGTGGTAACGCATTTTTTTTCCATGTCCCCATGCCGCCTGGCTCATTATGCTTGTTTTTTTCTTCATCTGGCCGCTCGTTCTTTCAACGCCCATCAGCGAAACTACTACTCCGCGTTCTTTGCTTGCATTTGCAACTAGGCGAAGTTACTAGGCGGACTGGGTCGCTGTATAACGCAACATGGGCTAGATCAAACAGCTTCAACCAGTGCCTTCGCTAGTTTCACTAGCGTCTCCGGCCCGCCGTCGATTGGCGACGGTCATCAGTCTGTAATAATATATCGTATTTGGTCGAATGCTGTCAGTGGCTTAGCAGTGCTGGGTTTCCTGTGCTACCCTTGCCGCGCCAGGGACTCGAATGTGCGGCCATGAAAAGTGATGCAAATGGCTGCCGGCGGTCCTGCGGCCTCTATCTCGCCTACCTAACTAAAACTAATCGACAGATGATTATTCTGTATAGATGAGTTTCGCTATGGTTATTCGGCTAGCATTATGCTCTATGTCATCACGCTATTTTTGCTCTTGTCTTTATAGCAGCTGCTATTGCCGAACGCTGGCCGATTCGGTTCCGATAGTTGGCTATTTCGCTAATTGCATTTACGGATCGTTCAGCTCAACATTGTTGCTTGGCGGTACCTTCTAGCTTCCGTCCATCTACCACAAACCTATCAAGTCCCCGATGCTTAGTAGTGACAAACGTATTACTGTCGCTATTTGTATGAGCTCTAAGGGAAGGCCCAGTGGGTACCCGATCATTGATCGCACGGAAATTATTACGCCAGCTCAATCCTATGGTTCAATGTGATTGTTGTGAAAATTCTACATAACCGTTTAGCCGATGCGGCCCATGTAGACGAGACCCGTACGACGATCTGGGGTAGTTGCAATCTGGGTAGCGTCACAACAACTATAATGAACCTCGTGTCAGGATGATAGTACTATTGATCTATTAAGTGAATGTGCGAGGTTGGTCGTAGGGAGGGGCCACAAGATTAGTCCGTCACGGCTTACTCTGACGTGTCGTCGTCATTTTTCTAAAGAAAGTTGAACAGCAGAGTTAAATCGGCAAACCGACGATCGTCTAAAGACCTGAAAATGTTGATATTTCTCAGAACATAGTGACGTTGCTGTCATCGTATAATGGTGAGGACCTTAGAATGCGGGGCCCATCTGGGAACAAATGTGATAGCAGCTATTGAAGCATACGATCGCGATTATTGGCCTTGACCTCTACAGCTGAAACCTGTGGCTGGCTTTGCAAGTAGATTGTACTCTAGCTAACCCAAACGCGACGACAGTTGTTATCAGTTTCCAATGATGTACTCGAAACGCGAATATCCAAAGAAGACCCACAAGCGTTGTCACCAAAGTAATTCAAATGAGACTTTTTCATCATCTTGGACACTCTACGCTCCCTCCACGTTTTGCAAACAATAATATCAAGAAGCGATCATAATCCAGCATAAGCCTAGGGAAGCCAATGGGATATAGATAGACTGAGCAAAAAATCCGCTCGATCGAATAAGATCGGGCAATGTTTTCCTAATATTAACAGGTAAATTGGCAACTCGTGGCCTCGATCGACACAGCCAGCTCTTACCTCAAAACGGGCGAAAATAGAAACTCGTTGCATTGGAATGCATACACGAAACTCCACCGTTTGGGAAGCTTACGCAGGAGGATGGTACAGATCAACTACCCAATTTCCGACGATTTTGACTACTTCTCACAGCAAATTTTCCGCACTGTCAACATGGCGGCGAGGGACATTTTTGCTAAAGGGCCGGTTTCACGTTTTGGGCGAGTGAGTGAGCTGAAGGCTAGAAAAAACTACGAAGGAATTATTGTGTCGTGATTCATGTATCGAGCTGTTATCTCTATTGTTATCTACGCCAGTGCCATAACAGACTGTGGCCTCTCTTGGTTTCTTCCTCGTTTTTTGTGGCCGGCATTTTTGAGACGTCACCGTTTCTACGACGTTGCTGGCGTGTTGCTGGTTCGACGATCGACGTTGCGTGGTCCTATTCAGGGAACAACAAGAGCAGCGATAGACGTCTTGTTTTTTTTATCAGCAAGTGGTCCTAACAGAATGAACAATAACATCCCACTTCACAGCCTTTGTCCTACGCTGCGTTACATGACCGCTGGTGACCGGTTCCTTCTTCACTTCTATGTGAACACTGAATATAGCAATTTGTCAAACGGTTACAGAAACAGTCATATTCCGTTAATCGTTCGAATATGCTCATGCAGCTGTTGATGATGGATTCGATTTGCTAGTGAGTTGAGGCCGCTACAATGACGATGGATTACCAGCATTATGCTAAATTTTGAATTGCGACGATAACGAAAGATCAGCTTATTGCCACTATTTTTACTGCTAACTAAGAACTCATCATGATACTCCTACTTTTTTTTTCATCGGTGACACTGCAGTGGATCGTTTGAGAATACGTTCAGTGATAACGGATGGATTAATTGTTACAATGCAATATATCTTCGTAAATGTTCTTAAAAGGCCTGACGTTCCGTTAACGGGATGAAGGAATTTGCCACGCCTGGAAGTTACATATAAAAATAGCGTAAGTGATCAACCTACTAGGTTGGTAAGTACCCCGGTCATCATAACACGTACTATCAATTTTCGAGGGTGTGTGTGCGCGCGTAAACGTTTATATATATCTGTGTATAAACAAGCCGTTCGTATTCGTCCTGATAATGATCACATCGGGTCACAGCAGTTGAATTGAACTATGATAAAATATTGTTATTGACATAAGCGTACATCTGAGTGTCTAGCTATGTATTCGGTTAAAAAAAGACATTAACATCAATCTATGTGGGTGCCTTACAAGTGCTCCTGGGTTAAGCTGACACGATGTCGATCTCCAATGATGAGTGGAAAATAAACGGTGGCCGATTCGGGTAATCTATTAGCACTACATGCAGTATTAAAGTATGAGGGTGACCAGTCGCCATATGGTCAAATACGTAGCAAATTTGTCATAGGTCAATCGGTAAGTGGCAGTCTCTGCAGTAAATCTGTCGAGGCAAGACTACAGCGGAACCATTGTAAAAATTGTATCAAATACAAAGTATCGAGCTATAACATGTGATGGGATATAATCCATTTTGGCCGTCTGATCGATAAGTTGTTCCCACGGTAGGCCACTGTAAAATTTCCCGAAATCAAATTGGCTCATTTAGCCTGCACGTTGCTTCCATGCGCTAGTGTTGCATACAAAACGTACGTGCAATTCTGGTTGTACTGTTGCTTTGAGTATGAACTGTATGGTTGTCTTATTTAACAAGTCAAATAGTGAAATGTTTGTTTTTCTGTTAAGAGCGTGCCGGTCGGATAAACAATTTGTTACTGTATTAGGTGATTAATTTGCTAGCTTGCAGAAAATGATTTCGAAACACTCAGTTTATACTGCAGAACTGACATAGAAATAGTACAAAATTCATATCGCGACTATTTAGTTAACCGTAGATAGGCACTATTATATAATTACTCTTTTGACTAAATTCCGGTAAACGATAGATACCCTTCTTCGGAAGCTGTCTCTTCGTTTTATCGAAAAAGCTGCTCCGGGGTACATAGACACTACTACGACAAGTGTCGACCGCTGCTAAGCCTAATCCACACTTATAATTCCTACCCGATTAAGGTCCTCGATAGGGGCTTACCATTCTTATTCGGCGTTGTGAACCGATCATAACGTCAGCGAGAAGAAAACAACGGAACAATAATATTTATGAGCTGATCGGTTAGGGCTACCACAGGAGAGGTAAAGCGCCTTAGTCTTCTAGCGTCCATAAAATTGAACAATCCATTTATGTGTTCTTGTGATAATCTTTGGTCTACAACTATGACCCACTAGCCATCCACTAATTCACTTCACTGGCTCCATTAACCCAAAACGTGCTAAAAAGAGTTCTTCAAGCAAAAACCCTTCATTCTTGTGACAGTTTCATTGTGACGTAACGAAATACTGGTATAAGGGTCACGCACGTATGATTTCTTATGCAGTTTTATATGCACCATATGAGAGAGCGGGCTGGCATAAAAATATGGTAGGCATAACTTATGATATGTATTATCTAGAAGGGACGACTAAGTCTCATGAAAATGGTGTACTACAGTAGAGTGAACGTACGATAATAGTGGTATGAGTTCAATTATCGTCATTGCCCCTATATACATGCTGACTATTTTGAAACCGGCCCATATAATTTGCGACATGCTTGAGAAACGTCAAGTTTAGCCCAAAACATACATGAACCCATTTGTCATCGAATAGTGGCCCAATGATGCTTGATCTAATCACTAATACGTTAAAAGAAAATAGCGAAATAAACGATTATCGAACATTAATCAGACTCATGACATGATGATTACCGCAGTGTTCCATAGCCGATATTTCAATGAGCTGAATCTCTTGTAAAAACGTATTTACGTAAAAGCTCTCTCACGATTACAGTCCTATTTTCCTAGCCAATACTCAGCTGTGGATGAACTAGTACCACTGCAGCTGGTAGCAGTGTGATCCCCTACCGTTAGCTCTGCACTCCGAATTTCGTACGGTCCCTGCGTTCTTAAAGGACTGCTCGTTAGTTGAATACGTTTTGCCTGTTTGCTGCCGTCCCGATTACTGCGACCAGTATCATAGCCTCCTCTCGGACAGTCATTCCACGCTGTTGGCGGTGAGGTCATGCGCTGTCGATTTAAATATGTCAGATTTGTCGCGCAGATGGAGAATTCGCGTATTGACATCGTTCTCCTCACATGAATCGGTCAGATGAGAGTGAGGACAAGGCCCGAGCAGGTCTATCGGCCTCGTTAACCTTGACGTACACAGCGAATCGCATAGTATCTTCTCTATGTTTTATGAATTTAACGTTCTGCTAGGGGATGCGCTTTAAGTTGTAATCGCGCCGTAAAGTTTCACCTGCGAAATAACTGCTATCCTTTCTGCCTCGACAAAATCTGTGGCTTAAATTGCGAACTATTTTAACTTAGAACCTGTAACTTAGAACAATAGTTATACATATACCTGTTCATCGGTCAACAGATTGTGATAAATCACCCTCAGAACGAAATTCTGGAGTGTTGTTATGCAGAAGCCGGATGCGGCGATAATGTGATGTTAGAAAGCTTGCAAAAAATTGAATAATTGACTACTAGTGCTGAAAAAGGCACGACTTTTATTATCAAGTATATTGGAAAACGTCATCACGTCAATATAGCTTGCCCTAAGCTCTCTATAGTCTCATCCAAAAGTTGCGAAACATAGAGTGGACAAGTTACTAGGGTGTGCGCGACGGGATATTGTTTGCGCCGGCAGAATATGCGGGATTTTACGGAATCCTCTATAAAACTTACCGTCAACAGGTAAGAGAGTCGAATATTTTTTTCGTCATTTGATAGATATAACTGTGATGACACTGATCGATGAGGTCGATGGTTCCATAGATTGAGCTGCAACTGTTTTCTTTAATTGCTGCACACTTAGCGGAACCTATTTTGCAAATAATTATAATAATAAATTTACCTGAGATTGGACTACACCTGTGTCTGGTGTAATTGGCCTTAACCCACTCCCGACAGTTACGAGCCAGTATCCTATCATCACCACGCTGTACTAATGCCTAAAGGAAGGCCTGTTGATTCACTGGGCAATCACGTTCATATTGACAGGTTTTTGATAGTCCCTAGTGGAAAGCAATGAAAATCGTTGTATTTTAGGCAATGCATTGTATGTGTATATATGACTGCGATACGAGATCGGACAAAGTCACCTGACAGTTAGGGGTTCTCAGTTGGTTCTATTCAAATCACAAAAAAATAGTGAGGTGCAGCAAAAGTAATACGAAGACCTTTCGTTTTCAACCTTCAGATGATTTTTTAGCCCAGCCTGCGTGCACATAGATATAAATGCACATGTTTACTTCATTTCAAGTCGCTGTTTGTTCACAGAATTTGTGTGAGGCAGGGAGAGAGAGAGAGAGAGAGAGAGAGAGAGAGAGAGAGAAGCAGTGGATGTCAACTATATAAGAAATGCTTTGCAATAACTTCGATAGGATGTTATGGATCAACTTTGCTGATGCTGATTTGTTTAATAAGAATTATTATAAGCTCTCCAGAAGGGTAGTACTCGATTAGCGTCAAGGATGCTCTTATAAGGTCCAAAGAGCTGTGGGTCGTTAGCCGGACACAAGAAAGCAACGATTTCAGGTTACCCGGTAGATCGATGTAGAGCGTATCTACCTTTTTAATTAATGCTCAAATATTTCATGCCTAAACCATTTCCAAACTACGACATAGGCAGCCATAATCCATATGGATCTGTTATCTGGGCCTATCGGATTTTCTAAAGCACTTCAATTGCTCTTGTGTCTTTTTATACCGCAGTAGTTGTTATCTTTATAGTCGCTCCCCGTGCTTCTTTCTATCTATGATTCTAGCTGATGTTTTTACGGGAAACACATTGTACCTGTACTTGTATTTGATTACAGTAGTAGCACGAGGACGGCTAGGATATTCTGTTGGCCCAGCTTCGGTCTGAAGTGCCGCACAATTTTCGGTTGTGAAGTTTCCCCGGACTTTACGACTATCGAGCTCGTAAGATGCGCGTGCTCGGCTCCTTGTAACCATGTGACGTTCATATAGGTGCGCGAACAATATTGACATTGGGTAAAAATAACAGCTGACGCGTGCTTATGTATGAATTGTGGGCTTTGCAGTATGGGTATTTGGCATCAAGCACATAACATCATTGCTTGATCGTGCTCGTCTTAATCGGTGATAGCATCTGAACCTTGCCGCTACGGTTAAAAAGTTAAAAAAAAAAAAAGTCCAACATTAATTTTCAGCCTCTACTCCTTGTATATTGAATTATACTGCATCTGAATCGTTAGATAGTGTTACGGGGTCGACTTAATCGGGCTCACCACGGTTGATGATGACGACCAGTTGCAGACGTCGCTCCACTCGCTTCAAGCTAACTACGATTCGTAGTTTTTCTCTAAGAAGTACGACTACTTGGAAATCTAATATCGTTATGTATCTAGTGTGGCTTCCTAGTTATGTGGAGCGAGAAAAGGCGTTAGAATTCCATGAGAGAAACTGCAAATCCGGCCACGAATTTAATATATTTTGTCGGTTTTCTGAAGACAAAATGGTGTTCGAACTTCTACTATCGTCTTTAGTAACCGTCAGATCAACCGCGTACAAATAACATGCTCTTCCATAACCATAACCGCCTGTTTCTCTAAACATGTTCACGGCGGGGTTCGAACCTAGGATGAACGATCCGCTAAAGTTTTCAGTCGAGTTAATTCGATAATAGTGTTCATTTCCGCGCTGTCGTCCCAGATCACGGCTTCCTCTCTACCAGCAGCAACAATCTGGTCTGCCGTCGGACGATCTGCGCACCTATACACACACACAACTCTGTTCTATAGATTGTGATATATCCCGATTCTCGTCACAGTTAACCCGTCGTTACGATAGTGGGATTGATTTTGCATCGATTCCAACTCGTTTCCGTTTGTTGTTTCTACGATAAATAATTTATTTATGCTATCTCGCGCGACAATGCAACTACTCTTCTGCTGACGCTACCCTTTTATCTTGCCGTTTTATTATCATCTCTATAGCGAAGCTGCTACGACAAACATTAAACGGCAATTTTGAGCGGACGAGCGCAACAAGGAGTGTTTGCAAAGCTAGCACACTGGAGTTCCGACTTTTCCAAATTTGTTACGGAATGTTGTTATTATTATGTAATAGTTTTTGTGATCAACTACTCATTCTTCTAGTAAACTAATTTAGGTAACGGCTATGATTGTTGCCACCATTCCTACTAGCGATTGGTCGTATTGTTTACATAATTCGTGAGTGGTTTCGATTTCGCTGGCGCGGAAGCCGGCTGCTAGAGTAGTCGGTGAGCGAGCGTAACGCTAGCACATTTGTCGTGAGTGAGCACTAGGCGACGAACTCATCTGACCAGTTGCGGCGGCGCCAGCAGCAGCGGAGGAGGTCCTCGTCGCCGTTGTCGTCGTTGACATCGCGTCGGCGCCGGAGCGAATAGGCCAGAACACAGGCCGACACAGCGAGCGCTCACGGACTGGACAGACGGTCAAGTTGGACAGTCGAACGAAAGAGGTTCTCACAACAGACACCGCTATTGTGGCTCTTTTTGATTGTTTCTTCGGCCGCCACAGCAGCCATTCGTTTCGTTCGTGTGCTGCTGCTGCAGCAGTTTCTACTGACCGCTGTTGCTACTCGGTGCTGTCGGACTTGATGCTGCGAACGAACGAACGAACAATCCGTTTGGCCGTGTCGCCGTGAGCGGTTGCAGTCAAGAACAGTCTAGTTGTGGTGTCGTCGTCGTCGTCGTCACTGCTGCTGCTGTGCTGTGCTGTGCTGAGTCAGCGGCTGAGAGAGCTCGTCACCCCGGTGCGGCACAAGCGGTAGCAGCAGTTCGTCGTCATTGGCAGCGGTGTGCTCGCCCTTGTGTACTTCAGTTTAAGAGTCGATGTCGATCGCTGTTCCTGCTGTACATGACCACCCCCTTCTATTGCTTATTTGTTGCTCGCGGACAAGTGTATTTGTTGTTTATTACACACCGTCAGTTTGCTGCCACCGCCGTTTCTGACACGAGCAGTTGTGCTGCGGGGCGTATGCTGTCGGTACGTTCATTCGTGGCCGCCGGACTGATTTGCTCGTGCATAGGACAGATGGTTTGTTTCGTTAACCGTCTGTGAAACACAACTCACGGCTCATATCACTTGGCCAAGCCAACCGTCATCCGGATCAGACAATAGATGGATGATGACGACGACATTTATCGGCGATAATTTTGCGACGATCAAATGAATGACAAGCGCAACTGAGGGTGAGGGTGAAGGTGAAGGGCTGTGGGCTGCAGTACGGGGGTAGAACTGAATGAAAGAGTGACGTATAGAAGGCAGCGGAAGTGAGATGATTAAAAGTGAGCCGAAATGCACTAAAACGACGCTCGTTGATTGGAGTAGAAGACACGAAGAAGAATCATGGAAGATTTGCTTCATATAGTTGACAGTGCGGAACCGTTTGTCGATACATGGCAAATGGTTATATTACTATAGTTAACGTGTGTGTGTAATGCGGGGATGATTCGCCGCAGACGAATATTCTAATTATTCACACGCGTTTGCTCCTGTGCTGCAGTGGCTGTATTTTGTAAACGATCAGCCCAGGTCAATTGGTGCCAAATTGGGCGTTCGACAAAGCTCACTCTCGAACATCCCTATCAGTGGAAGGACAACACACGACTGACTGGTACGGGTATCGTAATGTCAACAATCGTAACAAGAACAACGTCTAACATTACGACTGCTATTATCATTACTTTTCCTATTGAGGCAATATTGTTCAAACCCACCACTGAATCGTCATACGACATTGTTGAAAATATCTGTACTGGCGGTGGCATTCTTTTTTTCATCGCTACACAGAATCCGCTCGTTTAGTGTGTTTCCCGTAACGCTTAGTAAGGTAGATTTAGCCGAACACAGTTCCCGACAGATCTAGCACGGAGCGGTAAAACAGGGCTGACAGGTTGATTCAGAGCTGCTCGGAAAGCTCTGCTATGAGCCGATATGCTAGCTGTACATAGGTTAGTAGTATAAAGTCGCCTGGCGGCATTCGGCCCGGGCGCAACGTCGCCCTATAGCGTTCAAATCCAACGTGAGTGAGTATCGCTGAGACTCAACAGAGTGCTCACGACGGCAGAGCAGTGTAGCGGAGTTCCATTTCGGAACGTGTGGGAAAAGGCGGCCGATTTGGCCAGTAGTCGAGTCCGACAACGAGGTCTACTCGTTGGACCGGATCCTTTACAAGCGACGTTTCCGTATTGTGGTGTGTGTGTGTGTGCGCGCGCGCCTCTGTACGTTACGCGAACGTCTGACGTTCACCAAGCTGCGGCTGTTACTCGTCAATTGGATTCCCAATAGCATAACATCATTTGTTATTTCAGCCTTTGTGCTGTGCTCATGCCATGTTGGCCCACATGTACCTACTTAGATCCTAGCTAGATCATTACGATTGGTCTGAAACTAACCGGTCGCTTTTACCAGTTATGATGTATAATAGGGTGCTTGTAACAACCAGACAGAAGCTTCAAATAACGCCGCTAGCATCGCCAGTGATCTAAGTGATCAATCCAGTGGTATACGGTTAGTTTACCTGGGAACACAAGAGCTCGGCTGAACAAACAAAGCCTCATATATATATATATATATATGGAGAACACCAGGAGCGTTCTACAGTGGATCTAAACCAAACGTAGAAAAATTACATAGCAATAAATACCAATCACATCAAGTCAAACGTATGCTGAGCTTACATGCAGAATCCATCTGACAAAACAAAGACGAAATTTACGAACGGATCAGCTTAAGATCCAGGAGGCTCTTTATTTTTTGCTCCAGCCCAACGCAAACGGACCCGAACAAGTAGCGTCCAAAAACGCGAGTGGGCGGCAAGGCTATCTCCGCCTCTGATAGAACTGCAGTGGCGTTTACACACGACAAAGCCGCTTCCCATTGTTGTTACCACGCACTATGCGCAAAGGGAGACAAGAACGGCAGGGACGAAACTGTAAGCGTCAACCGAATGATAAACGAATCATCGGCGCTTAGCAGGACGAACCAAATAGAAGATCGACACGAACCGAGATGTAACAACAGGTATAAGTTAAGCCGATAAAAAAAAAAACGTCATATATAAGCGTTAGAACAATATAAATAAAAAACGCTTCCATTACTCCAATAAGTGCATATTGGGCTGCTCCTATTCCCGTGCTTGCCTCATACGTATGCGTATTGTATGTAATCTACGGCATAGCTGATCCTATGACACGTGCTCTGTATCAAGTGAGTAATTGCAACGAGTACGCCGGGAAGCTGTAAGCTCGCTTCCTACACGGCGCTGTTCGGCACAGTACACTAGATTTCCTGCCCGAAGGAGTACACGCGGTCGAATAGAGATCAGTAGCCGGTCGAGGTAGGCCTTTAACTACGTTGCGAGTTAGACTCTCATGTAGCCTAAAATAACAAGTTGCTACCACACGAAGGCGTGAGGTCAAGAAGACGTGCTAGAAAATTGCGTTGTTGCCTTTCTTGTAGAGAAAGCCGGCAGGTCTATAAACCCTGCGATTGTAACTGTGCCTAAGCTTGTGCCCATCATGGATAGTGAGTAACCTCTGGCTGAAGAAGATTATGGGTTAGGTGACATGCTGCCAAAGTATTGTCAACAAATAGGCAGCTTGATTGTTTGTTTCGTGTATATTGTGAGATGTTCTCAGTTGTGAGCTGGTAATTGGTGTAGTTGTGTCAAACAGCCGTGCGTATATAGCTACGGGAGATTATTGTTGTGTATTGTTTTACTAGACGCACAAGGGAACCGCGCAGGATGGGGCGCGGTCGAAGTCCTGAGGATATGAATGGTAACAAAAAGCCATCGAGTAGATCTCGATCGAAATCTCGGGATCGGAATTCAAATTCTGGGAGGTATGTGATGTTCAACAATTGGTAATGTTTTTACTCACATATACCAAAGCTGTGTTGTATATACTTAGTACACTTAACACTATTTGGTAGTTTCCATATAGCAGTGAGTGTTTAGCTTTATCGAACGAAGAAAACTAATTGAAACATTCTTTTTCGGTAATTGAAGGTGCGTCTGGAGGGAGCGGACTCAATCGGCCCTGCAATGGTCACGATTTTTTTTCTTCAAATCCTTTCAATTTCTTCACATTTACTGAACTTTAAATCAAATGTGTTTACATTATTGTACTACAATTTGATGAGCATTACCACCTCGGACTTGGAAGATGTTGATAGATGGACCTTGTAAAGGAATCATCCACGCCGACTTAAACATCCATAGCGCATATATGTGCATAATATGTAACAATATATTTTTAGCGTGGACTCGCTTAGCGAGCAGTTATTAGTTGCCATATCTTTATCCAACGAGTTCTCGCCAATATCTAGCTCCACGCGAGACACGCACCGTGTTTCCATACTTAGCTAAGTCCCAAATTTCGACAGTCGTTAGGGTACTCCTGATGCTAGGTTAAGTCCAATAACAGAAATAATAATTATTATTAGTATTATTGCTATTATTGATCGTCACGGAGATTTTCATTGCTTACTTTCTTCTTTACGTGGGCATCTACATCTACGCCAACCGGTGGCCTTGGTTCGGAACTCGGTAGCTGTTACTTCGAGAGTACTACCCTTTTTTTTGCGATTTCTACTATCGTTACCCCGATAAAACTCGTAGCCACCCCTAAAAATCGAGACGTCCTTATTCATCACGTGCCGATATGGTAGAAACCCGCTTTGCTCCACATCTTCTACAACTGACGTCGTTTAGCAAAGCATCTACTATCTATACATATCTACCGTATGTGTCATAGCAGGTACTGTGAAGTCGTCAAGCTCGCGAAACGTCCATAACAGCCATTGTTTCTATAGTGGTTTCACGATTCTGGTCCGAAGCAGTGGACCGACGGTGGAGTTCGCGAAGCGTCCCCAATACAGGTGGCCGGATTAGATTGGATTTGATCGTCCAGCGTCGAATAGGCTATGTTGCAGTGCTCCGGTTGCTCACTTGTACGATTTCTTATCGCCTCGTCGATCCTTACTGTTGTATTTTGGCTATCATTGACGTACATTTGTGGCTTGGCTCACCTCACTGCCGATTCAGGCTAATGCTTTTGCAATCGTCGCCGTCCACTGGCATTAGGTGTGTCCTTGTCGACTGAACAAGGCGCGTGCTGTCTCTGTGAAATAGAGTCGATCTAACATGCTGCTATTGATACTCATAGGTATTCACACGCACACATTATCTCATGCCAACATGTTAACACCGTCTCAGACCTGTATATAATATAGGATAGCGGTTGTTCGATAGAGTTTTCAGTTTTTTTTCATAGGAGAAGATAGATATAAGTGTATTGGGTTGGTATATGCAGATATCAGAAGCCAAATGTGTGCGTTCGGTAGGCAACTTTATCGTTAAGGCCAGTTTATGTAAAGCTAAGTGTTATGTATTTACGCTATGATGGACGCAGAGTGGCTTCTGATTTCGCGCTCATTTATACGGTTTTGGCAGTGTCAGCCGTTGCTGGTTGTACTGCGGTCGGGTGTGAAGAATGAATGATAACTTCAACGTTGTTCTTGGGAGCGTCACTCTTCGAAAGTAATTTATCGCATGCAGGAGCCTAAGGGACGGGTCGAAAGTGCCTTGCTTTTTTCCATGCTAAAATTATCTTATTATGTTTATTATGGTGTTCGTGTTCTAACTTGAATATATATGCGTCGCAAGCTGTGAAGTACCCACATTCACTATAAAAGCCTTTGATTTTCGTCACAGAAATGTAAACGAAAATTTATAAATATAAGCTGGACAAAGCCTTTGTCCAAACCTTCGTCTAGCTTATATTTATGTATATATGATTCCATACCGCGAGGCTATTCCATAATACCCTCGACGCTGTCGTCATTTATCAAAGACTGATGCATACGGCCCACGGTGTGTGACCGACACCATAGGCATATAAGTACTATAAAATGCTTAGCGAATTTAATCTCTAAAAACTGTTAGTTCTATTGCCCTTTGCCTCCCTTCTCCATTGTCGATCGTTTCGGCACACTGGCCATTCTATTCAGCTATAACGTAAGCAGTGAAACACAACCACCTATTATCTCTACTTTTCCAAAGTAATCAAACGCATCGCCCTTTAAAACTAGTTTGGATCTGACTCCTACTACATGTCAGTTAAGCAGGAATTAAAGCAGGAGCGCGCAAACTCGTGCTGCGGCAGTCGACAGAAACGATATGCTAGTTGCTGTGGCGGAAACCAGCCGTGAGGGCCACTCGTTATTGAACGGAAGAGGGCATTATCCAATTATATTATCGTTCATTAACAGGGCCATCGGTTTATAGACGTAGGTTCCAGCTAGTTTCTCATGCGTTCAGTATAGTCGAAAAGCCGCTGACTCGACAGCTGTCGCTCCGGCAACTTTAGTCACAAAACACTAACGCTAATGCTGTTGTGCTGCAGTTTCAAAAGATCGCGGTTGATTCGGCACTAAGCTGAGGTAAATGACCTCAAGGAAGATGGGCGTTGGAGTTCGGCCGCATATCGAAATGATTTCCGTGCCTGCAGGCTTGACCACCGTGCTTCATTCGTTTTGCCAAGCCAGCTTAGCTTCTACTTGTTTCCTATAGCAGGATCTGGCCGTACCTTCGTGCAGTATCTTGCCGGCTTTGAGCAGCTTTTGAACTGGCAGCAACTGAAGATAGTAGCATCAATTGGTCAAACGGTGCCAATGGTAATGCCAGAGGTTGGAATTGCTTTTTTTTTTTGCGTTTTTTTTGGGTCTGCTCGCTGACTTCAGTTGGGCAGTTGGTCGGATACCGCAGGTAACCTGGTCCTGTTGGCGAAGTCACGATTTTCACGCCATGTTACTTACTACTAATATATTGTGTATTACTGTATTAGAGATAGAGTAATGTCGGGACACGTCGGGCTAGCATCCGAAGCCAGCAGTCTCAGAATGCGTACTAAATAAACAACTCGCCAGTATTGCCAGTGGTAGTTACAGGCGCCGGCCTCCACTGCCTGACTATGGCTAAAAATGTACTGGTATAAAATATTTATACTGGCCAGGGAGTGCAACGGTCGTAAACATTGAGTTTCTCCAGTTGCTCGAGAGGATTTTTCTGACAGCTTGTGTAGAACAAGCTGTTCGTTCAGTGGATTCTCATATTCTGTGTGCGTAACCCAAACAGTGGCTGAGTCGCAAACGAATTTCGCACGTTACGTGAGAAAGTCGCTAGCGAAACCTTGATACGGTATGACGAAACTATTGCAGATGCGAGGTACTCTTCGTGACATTTGTTTTTTTGCCGTTCAGTACAACGAGTGAGTCATTCACAAACAGCCCAGTTTACACTTCCATACGATTTTAGACACGTTGTTTTTGAAGTTTAAACAGTTTTTTAAAGGTTTTTTTTTTTCTCATTGAAACACTTTTCTTCGTAAGTTCTTGTCTGTTGAACTGTGGCATGTGTATAGAAAAATCACAGCTTTTTTTTTTTTCATAATTCATTTTAGTACTCCTTAACACTTTCGCAAAATGCATTAAATGCTTCTACTAGTGAATAAATCGTTACAATTAATAAGAGCTATAATTAATGGTTACGTAGAGCCTCTCTATGCGTTGCCATATTCAACAGCAGAAATACATCTCACTAAACATCGACTAGTGTTCACATGCCGCACTTTTTATCGGTTACGCCTGGCTCGTACTACCTATCCTCCCTGTTTCCCATATTGATCCGGTGCACTCTTCGCTCGGTCTGTGGCTTTTCATCTGATTGACAAATGAAGTTGTCAGATACTTGCCAAGGGATCAGCACGCATACTCCGGCCATTGCAAGCTGTCTGAGCTGAGCCTACAAAAATCCAATCAAGAGTTTACACATCTCGTCTCTCGAAGAGAAGGTCCCAAGAAGTCGAAGGGTCGAATGTGGTGGAAACCGACTTGCTCCTGGCCATCACCGTTATTATCGGGAAGCACCATCAACACAAGCCCAAGTTCCGACCATGTCCACCCCACCCTCCCGTTGATATTGCGGTAACACCATAAAACAGCGCAAAACTATGTATTGTCATCGCTCATGTATAGACCGAATCATCATATAATATTACTAGATCTCATCGCCCACTCGCAGACACAGAATGAAAATCACCGACACCTACGTACACGTTATACATTTGCTTTGTCAATCACCGATGTCTACATGGCCGATTCAAGAGATTTGGTATTTGCAATGCGCATGCAGAGATTCAAAGGGAAAGTGTGAATTAAAACGACGAAATATAGAGGACCTTGTTGGCAGCAGGTCCGCAAACAGGAACGCATATTTGAACGGACGGATGAGGTTAGGTCGTCATTCGTTTGTTGAGTGCCTAGAGCAGAGAATGGGAGAGTCGTTGATAGCTGACCTTAAACAAGGTCTGCCTGAACAGTTGGCGTTGAGAATCGAACAACCGAGTTAGCCACTGGCTTTCTTTCTGCTTCTGTGACTATGACAAGTTAATAACGAAATGCTGCACAGCGACAGAGTTAGCCTGGGCTTTCATTTTATTATAATGGATCGTGAGGTAGAAGGATACGAAAATGCTTAGAGTAGTAATAATAGTAAGAGTAGTAATAACATTGTTGTCATTGCTGCTATTGCGTACAACAATAAAACCTAGGCAGATTTAGTCAATTTCAAACTGGCTACACTTAGCCATTAGTGACAACGTCACTGTGGTCCCGTGTTGTATATATGCTGAGCAAGCGTTTGGATTAGATCCAATAATTTAAACTGCTCGTGCCGTGGTACGTTATGGCTACTATTACTCTAACGGTCTGTTCCTGTGCGAGCGCGTTCGAGAAATAAACATTGTGCTCCGAACAACATATATAGAAAGCATCAACGGATC